GAGGTTCTTGATGCATTGATGCTGCAAGCCATGCTGTCAGTCATTCCTCACTCAGTAAGAAGACAACGGTATATTGGAGTAGTACCGTGTGAGCCTTGACATCCCCCTCGATCAATTTGCCCGTTTGCGGATCCATCGCGACCGCTCCAGAGCAGTAGACGACACCATTGGCGATGATGGCCTGCGAGTAGATGCCAGGGAGAGGCTTGGGGGCTTTTTCAGTGAGGACGGGGGTTTTGGTTGCCATATTGATTTTGAATGCCTCTCTAGAATATACACGCTCTCTATAATATGAGCTACAGGAAATAGACCTTTGTGGTGCGGGGTATCATTCCCGTCATATATATAATTTCATATACGAGGGGGTATCCCTCACGCGAAATCGGGCATACATGCGCATCTACTCCGTACAATGCATGGCTGCATGGACGCATGAAGGCATCGTATCTATTATCGATCTGCTCCCCCCCACGCGCGGAAACAAGGCCGCGTGCCAATCGCAGGCGGGAGAGTTGCATTGAACCCCTCACGACACGACAGCTCATTGTAACTTGATCTTATGCTCGTACTGCTACCTTGAGTTGTCCAGCAAGGAGGTTGGTCCTTTTGATTCACATACCATGTGTCATTGAGTGGATACAGTACAGCGTACGTGGTGATCGCCGTGATCAACCATTTCCGTGACATCAATCAAGAGGATCAGGATCGTGCTGGACAAGTAGATACTTTGCACACAGTTGCACCCCCACGGCCCTTGATTCAAGACACGATCTTTACTCCGCAGGGACGGAATGTAACCGACCTGAGGGGAAGCTTCCAAATACCAAAACAGTAAATGAACCTTCAGCTCTAATGACTCACTATTCCCATCATCGCTGCTTCAATTGATATCATCCGTAGCCTGCTCTATTTCGTTCCTGTGTGAGTGCCAGAATCAAAAATGTCCGTCTCGACCGACATCTCGCAACCGCCATATCCCTTGCATGACTCCGTCAAGGACAAGCTCGACCCAGAATATGTCGACTTCTACAACAAATACGTAATCAACATTCAACAAGTCCATCTCCAACCGGTGGCTGCCTCGAGAACGAGCGGTGTTCTGATCCCCGGCGGTGGTCCTCTGCTCGACGTTGGAAAGACAGAGGATATCACCATCAAACGGAGAGCGACCGAGGGGCCTGATATTCTGCTCCGCAGCTTCATACCCCAAGGGGAAAAGCCTGCAGATGGCTGGCCGGCAATGCTGTACTTTCACGGAGGGGGATGGGTGCTAGGAAATATCGACACCGAGAATCCAGTATGTACGAATCTCTGTGTTCGAGGGAACTGCGTGGTGGTCACAGTTGATTATAGGTTAGTCTTCGCCGTCGACACCCTGTCGACATCCAGTCGCTGATGTTACAGATTGGCCCCTGAAAACCCATGGCCGGCGGCCGTCCACGATTGCTGGGAAGCCCTCCTCTGGCTCATCTCCGACGGTGCCTCGGTGCTTCCCATCGACTCATCCAAGATGGCGACGGGAGGCTCGTCAGCTGGTGGAAATCTGGCTTCCATCATCACGCATAGAGCCCTCACCCTCTCGCCACCGGTGCGCTTTCGTGCTCAGCTGCTCTCCGTTCCCGTCATGGACAACACAGCGACCGTCGACAACAACGAGTCCTATCGTCTGTATGAGCACACGCCCGCTCTTCCTGCAGCTAAGATGATCTGGTATCGCAACCATTACCTCCCCAACATAGCAGATCGCACCAATCCCGAAGCCAGCCCTCTCTTTTATGAGGATGACTGGTCGCAACTGCCGCCGGCCTTGATTATGGTGGGGGAACTCGACGTCTTGCGCACAGAGGGGGAGCAGTATGCGGCGAAGCTGAGGGAGGCGGGAGTGGAGGTGGATCTGCAGGTGATGAAGGGGATGCCGCATCCGTTTCTCGCTATGGATGCGGTTCTCAAGGAGGGCAGGCGATCTATCACCTTGATGTGCGATATGTTAAAGAGGGCTTTTTGGGAGTCATGAACCTTCGTCAGCCTCGATTATGATATCATATCCATGAGCAGAATGCTAGAAACCAGTGCCGCAATTGGCAAAGGTAATGCGATAGTTGATCACACTAGGATGGGAAAGATCAGTAGACGAGCTACATGCTACCTGAATGACGTTGTCAAGAGGCTGCTGGGTAGACATTAAGATTGAAAACGTTATGCTTCGCGAGTCTTAATGCGATCATCATTGCAACATGTGAGTGAGGTAACCGGGAGTACAGGTAAATTGGTATCATGCCACAGATGCAATGCAACGCTCTGCGCCTTGACGAGATTAGGACAGACGCTGGACCATCCAGGATATTCCTCAAGGAGAGATGCTCTTCCTATACCAGGGCCCGTATGGTAAGCTGCTCATGAGCTTGATGAGTCTGAACTCATAGGTTGGACTTGGTCTCTTTCATTCCCCGGGCTTCATGAGTACCTTGACGTCTAAGCGAGCAGGGGAGTGTCTGATCCCTAAATTAAACAAACCCTACATTGATCATGTATTCATCCTCGGCCTGTTTCCGTGGCTTGCTTGTCTCATGAAATTGAGCGTCAGTCATACCACAACTCTGAGCGTGCTCTGAGAAGGGAAATGATCAGAGCAGAGGCGAGCGAGACCGAAATCCGACGATGTCGGAGTGATCTCACCTCAACTCTAGAACAAGGATCTATGGAAGAACCATTCTGGAAGTAGAATAGTTTCATAATCAAAATGGGACCATGAGCACTGTATGTCTGCCCTTTGTCCCATGTACCAAATAAGAAAGGTCCTGCTTGAGAGAGGAAAATCCATGACCATTCGTATCTAATGAATATCAGTGGGACACAGAGACTTTGGAATCGTCTTTTCACCGTTCAATTTCTCCTCAGGCTCATTATTCCATCTTCTCCGGGTAAGCACAGCTGGAACTTGCTTGCTGCATTCATGCCCAGTTCCTGAGTGTACTCCCTCCCAACTTGCGGCGTAATCCGTCGAGTACCTGAGCTATATGGTTAGCGCGAGCCTTAGCATGGATGGTTCATAAATAACTTGTTAAAGTACAGAGAACATGCCCCATGTGCTCGTGATTCGATGCGATCTATCCACTCAAAAGGCCTGAGCCCAAACCGGTTCAAATTGGTGGAGAAATCTCATCTTACTCTGGGTCAGAGGCTAAGAGCAGCCTCTGCGTGGATGTAACTCTGAGAATTAGCCTGAGAAGCAGCCTCTGTGTGAATTTTATTAGTTAATAATTTCCACTGGCTTGTGATTGTCAAAATCGGTGCCTTGGATTTCCTTAAAAGCCCGACAATAATAATAATAGTGAAGTTGAATATGACCGAGGCCTTTGTATAGACCGGATAATCTCCTACCTAAGGTAGTATCTAATGCCTACTCACAATGAAGATATGATCAACAGGAACGACAAACCCCTCGGATGATCCGGCACGTTCTCCGGTACTAGATATTTGTGTGTTATTGACACTAAGCGCAAGTCAGGACCGAAAATCTCTGGCATTAACTTTTTAATTTGCTGGCCTTAAAGAATTTGTTGTGACTTTTCCCGAAACAGGAAAGTGTCATTAAGGAAAAAACAATGCCAAGACCTGAATCAGGCCAGCGCTAAATATTCGCAATATGATTGGTGTTCCTGACGGTCTGGAGCCTGCCAGCCAGGCAACAGTCCCCGCGCTAAGCTGGATAAGGAAGGCACCACCATGCGACTCGACTTTGAGGCTATCGGACATGGGGCTACTCTAGTTCCAGTAACACCCATGGAACCAAGCAATACCAGGTCAAGTCTCCAAGGCATCTCGGACCCTTTCATTCGCTCTTCTTCTTCGTCGCTTACGGAGGAGATACAGACTAAGTAGTCTAGCAGCTACCTCTCAGTCCAGTCAGCAATTTGTGGTAGTTACCACAGCGTCGCTTACTCCCCTTTTACGCCCCCCCCCCCGCCATGTGGTGATATGAAAAAAAGAAAAGAGACAGGTCTTATTCAACTCATTCATGATTGAAAGCCTATCCTTTGTGTCGATGAATGGCTCACCTCATGTATGGCTTGGAGTTGATTCATCATCATGGCTGTCTTCCGGCCTCACCAGGGACTATCTAGACAATAGGGGGGCCTTTCTTGATTTCATCTCCTTGACCCTGGTGGTAAAATTCATTTCATCCCAAATTCCCAACTTCGAACTAATGCATGCGCCGTCACTAATGCGGAACTAGGGACGATACCATTGATCACTTAGGAGTCGTGATAGTGGAGGAATAATGGACCTTGCTCCATGCGGCTCTTTTGTCGGCTGTTCCCACTTTCCATATCGAATCAGCACTCTCATCGCTGCCACTGACTCAACGGCAATATCGGCCGGGTCTATCTCGCAATTTCCGTTGCCACTCGGTTGTCCAATCTAGTGACGCTTTTCAGTCCGTAGCGCCTTTAGACCCCGGCAGATTTTCTGTTACTAATCAACTTGGACCTCTACCTCTCTGCCATTTGCTGAAACCTGAGAGAATTGAGGTCGTTTATCCGGTAGGCTGTGCCTGTTGGAACTCAATCTGGCAAGGTGCTGAATAGAGTTCATATTCTCACTGCAACCTTCCTGCTATCATCCCTGCAATTCTCCATTCGAGACCGTAACGGTGCCTGGGGGGGAAGTCTGCGTACTATTTTAGACCAACAATAATGGGATATGGCTGCGAAGATGGCCATCTGTAATCTCCGAGCTAGCAAGATGGTTGGTCGTCGACTTCTCCGTACGTAGTCATATATAGGTCTCCCTCATGTCCACTCCTCTCATTGAAGATATCTCTCCTTCCCTTTGGTCTGGCCTTCCCACTTCGCGAGTCCTCGTCCGTTGAGAGACCGTTTGACCTGTCAGCAGACATTTGTCTGCGTCCTTTCTTTGACCCTCACCGTCTACACTCCTTTCTTGTGCTATAGTTCGCTGGGATTTCAGTCCCGCTGTCATTCTTTTTTTTCGCCAACATGGTGTCCAGCAAGTTTTCTCTCGTCGCCACGGCTGTTGCAGCCCTAGCTCCCCTGGCGTCTGCTTTCGATGCCTCCTCAAGATCCAACCTTGCCGTCTACTATGTACGTTTCGACCGTAGCGTTCGCCTTGGCTTCCCAGTTTCTGCATGCTGATCATTGTCTTGTAGGGTCAAGGTCCTGACCAGCTCCGTCTGAGCCACTTCTGTCAGGAGACCTCCTTGGACATCATCAATATTGGTTTTATCAACTATTTCCCCGATATGAGCCCTGGAGGATGGCCGGGCTCCAACTTTGGCAACCAGTGCGACGGTTCCACCTACGTTACTAAAGATGGCGTTAAAACCAAGTTGCTGTCCGGCTGTCATCAGATCATGGAGGATATTCCCATCTGCCAGGCGGCTGGTAAGAAGGTCCTGCTGTCCATTGGTGGTGCCTATCCCGCAGACCAGAGCATCCTCTCCGAGAAGACTGCCAAGGCGTTCGCCACTTTCCTGTGGGGAGCTTTTGGCCCAGTCGCTGAGGGTTGGGAGGGTCCTCGTCCCTTAGGGAATGTCGTCGTTGATGGTTTCGACTTTGACATCGAGCACAACGGTGGTTTTGGTATGTTTTCTGGACTCTCTCAAGGCTGCTTGAATCTCTTTCAGTTTTGAACCTTGTCGCTGATGGAATATTCCCCAGGCTATGCCACCATGGTAAACACCTTCCGTGAGTATTTCAACCAGGTGCAGGACCGCAAATTCTATCTCTCGGCTGCTCCTCAGTGTGTCCTCCCCGATGCCCAGCTCGGTGATGCGATCACGAACTCCGCCTTCGACTTCATCTGGATTCAATATTACAACACCGCTGCTTGCTCGGCCATGAGCTTCGTCGACAACACTCTCGGATCGTTCAACTTCGACGCCTGGGTGACCACCCTCAAGACGACTGCCAGCCGCAACGCCAAGCTCTATGTTGGTCTGCCGGCCAGTCCGACTGCAGCCAACGCGGGTTACTACCTTACTCCCAAGCAGGCGGAGTCCCTGGTTTCCACCTACATGCGCCGGTACCCCGACACCTTTGGAGGTATCATGCTTTGGGAGGCTACCACATCCGAGAACAACAAGATCGATGGCTCCACCTATGCCGACCACATGAAGGATATCCTTTTGGACTGTGACCCAAGCCCTCCCGTAACCTCCTCCAGCGCTATCCCATCGAGCACTCCGGTGACTTCGGCCACACCTTCGCCATCAAGCAGTGCTGTTCCTTCCAGCACCCCTGCCGTCTCTGTGACCCCATCGCCGTCTAGCAGTGCCGTTCCTTCCAGCACCCCGACTCCTTCTAGCACCCCTGTCATTCCTGGAACATCTGCTTCGAGCAGCCCTGTCTCTTCAAGCAGCGCCGTTGTCTCGAGCACGCCCGTTTCGTCCAGCACCCCGGTCATTCCCGGAACATCTGCTTCRAGCAGCCCTGATTCCTCGAGYACCCCAGTTGCCTCGAGCACTCCGGCTTCGTCCAGCACCCCGGTCATTCCCGGAACATCTGCTTCGAGCAGCCCTGATTCCTCGAGCACCCCAGTTGCCTCGAGCACTCCGGCTTCGTCCAGCACCCCGGTCATTCCCGGAACATCTGCTTCGAGCAGCCCTGATTCCTCGAGCACCCCAGTTGCCTCGAGYACTCCGGCTTCGTCCAGCACCCCGGTCATTCCCGGCGGCTCATCCTCTTCTAGCGAGCCAGTCGCTTCGTCGACTCCTCTGATTACCTTGACATTGACCGTTTCGCCTACGCCCGCGCCCAGCTCATCCTCCGCCTCCGGCACCCCCTCTACGAGCAAGCCTGTCATCCCCAACACTTCGTCGACCTCGGGACAGTCCAGCGCCCCTGTTCCTTCCAGTGCTTCTGCCACCGGCTCTACGAGTGTCCCCGGCACCAGCTCGGGTGCGGTCGGCCAGTCAGGCTCCAGCTCCACCGGTGTGGCCAGCTCTACCCAGACTGACGTCGGCACTTCCCCATCGCAAACCGCCGGCCAATCGACAACCGTCACTGCCACCACGTCCTCGTCTTCCTCTTCCACCGACAAGAGCTCTACTACTGTCGGCAACGGCAATGGCAGCGGATCGACAACCACTACCGCTGCGACCGGCTCCATCACCGCCGTGCCTACCGCCAGCTCTTCAGTCGCCGCTACGGGTGCCAGCTCGGAGCCTGTGACCATCACCACTGTTATTGTGACTTCCTACATCGATATCTGCCCTACCGGCTTCACCACTGTGACCACTACGTACACAACCACATACTGCCCGGGTACTAACACTGCAACCGCCACGGCCACCGTTACAAACCCTCCAGCTGGACCCGGTGGATCCGGATCGCAAACCCCCGCTCCCACTGTTCCCGAGGGCTGGACCACCACTGTGACCGTCTGCACTCAGTGCGCTGCCAAGCCAACCACCGTGACGTTGACGCTGCCTGTGACTGCCATCCACACTGAAACTAAGTCGACTTCGACCGGCGTCGTGCCCGCACCCCCTGCCGCTACTGGCGAGGGATCGAAGCCCACCAAGCCATCGGGTGTTTCCCCCACCGGTGGTGCCGGCGGCTCTTCTGAAGGAGAGGTTCCTCCCCCAGCCGTGACTCTGGTCAGCACGAGCACCGACATCGTGACGGTGATTCGTCCCACTTCGAGCCACCCCGTGATCCTCGGTACTGGCGCTGTCCGCCCTTCGTCGACGCTGGCCGTTAAGCCATCGGCCAAGACATCGGGTCAAACTTCTCACGTGCCCATTCCTCCTAGCAGCACTCAAGAAGGTGTGTCGCCCTTGTCTACCGGTGCTGCCTCGCGCGTTGCTGGACTGGGCCACGGCTTGGTCCTCATGGTTCTCGCCCTGTCTGCATTCTTCGTCTTGTAAAGCGTCAAACCTTGTGAGATGTCATGTGGGCAGATAATGTATAATGAAGGACTGCTGTTCTAGCTGACACTGTTTTTACTTTTTTTTATTATTTCGATGTGTTTACATTACAATTCGACCCGGTCCAGTCTGCGCTGGACCTTAATTGAAGCAGTCCTATACCACTTCCCACACTCGACGCAAAGCGTCCCAATTTCTTTGTCACTCTTGATCGATGCATGAAGCGCTGTCATATTGTATAGAGCATGAGACTTGCATTTTGACGTCACAACAACCTTCCCAATAGCATAAGACATTTTCTATCTCTCCAGTATTTGCAGATCGTAATGGGTCCACCACCATCTATAGACCTGATTGAGCTGCTAGGGCGCTACGCAGCGTCGTGAAACGATGATGCCTAAACTTAGCCGTATTGAGCTGAGCCGGGGGGGGGAAAAATTACCAGTTACGTAGAGAAACAAGCTTTCAGGGCCAAGACGGGTCGATCCGACAGACCCAACCCGTCATCCGGCGTATTGCGGATGAGTTGTCTCTATACCTCTAATAAATGGTGTTTGTTTTCTATTGGATTCGGACGATTGATCGATATTATTCTACTGAAGGAACAAGAACGTCAAGGCCACATCTCTCTCATCGTAAGGTACTCCGTAAAGTACGAGGAGAAACATCGGGTGCTGAGTTGCGCCACAAATACACTAAAACAGCTGAGGGGGCTGATGTGGCTGAAATGCTGAAGTGGACCTATCACAGACTGCACAGTAAACGACTGAGGGCCCAGCAATGAGGGGCGTGTCGTGGCTGTTTGGCTGTTTGAGCGCGATTTACGGAGTACCCTCTCTCGATATCACTCACTTCGCTGCGATGGATCCGCACCCCTGGAGGGAACTAAGATAATAGTCCCTTATTTTAGTAACCCCTCAGGCGGTCGCAGTAGACATGTATATAAATATCCAGGTCCCTCCTTAGCTGGCTATGGTTGGAGTCCAGTCTCCTTTGTCTCCTCTCTCTCAGCTCCTCTTCTCTTCGCACTATTGATTACGTATATCATATCTGTTTCTTCTGTTAGTATTTCAAATCGCCATGGACGGCTTCCTCGGTAAAATCATCGAAAAAGTCGCTGGTGGTGGCAGCAGCAGCAGCGGCGGCGGCGGTTACGGCTACAATCAACAACCCAGCTACGGTGGACAAGGCCAGGGTTACAACGCTGGTCCCGCCCCTCCCCAGGGCCTCCCTTACCCGTGGGTCGCCCGCTGGGATGATCGCGACCAGCGCTGGTTCTACGTGAACGAGCAGACCGGCGAGAGGTCTTGGGAGCGGCCGTACGGCGGCAGTGGCAGTGGTGGCGCTCCGTCTTACGGAGAGCGATCGTACGGTCAGCCTCAGCCGTCGTATGGTTATGGAGGCGGCTATGGGCAGCCGCAGGGACAACAACCGGAACGCAAGGATCATACTATGATGTATGGTGTGGCGGCGGGGGCGGCCGGTTTGGCGGGCGGTGCGTTACTGATGCATGAGGGGGAGAAAATCCGTGAGTTGTCCCTTGATTGGAGCCGGAAAAAAGGCGCGTTGTTGACCTGTACAGATGAGCGCTGGGATGAGGATAAGGAGCGAATCGAGCAGAATGTTGAGGATTTCCCCGAGGATGCGGCACGGTGGACCGGCGAAAAGGTTTGTGCTCTTCTGTCGTGCTTGCAGACAGACGCTGACAACCACGGATATCAGGTCGGTGAAGTCGAGCGGATCCCAGAGAATATTGAACAGGGCTGGGATCGCACCGAGGACCGCATCGAGAATAAGTGGGACAATGCAGTCGACGATGTCGAGGACTTTCCTGAGAATGCGGCGGGATGGGCAGGACGAAAAGTCGGCGAGGTGGAACAATTTGGCGACAATATAGACTATGCCTATGATGAGGGAAGGGCTGAGGGTCGGGATGATTGGTAGATTCCTTCATCAAGGGGACTGTCTGGGCTTTTGATCATACTGCATTGTTACAAGGTGATTTATGCATAATTCGCATAACAATATTGCACTCATGATGGACCTGTCAATCGATAGCAATGTTTGTATAGCAATCATTGTAGTCAAGCTGCATATCCAGACATGCTCTGGTGAAGCTTCACCTGCGGCACTGTTGGTTTCCCCCGCACGTGGCCCGGGCCTCGGTTGCGGAGAGACGGTTGTTCATCGATCAGCCTTTGCTATTAAACCCATTCACGCACATCCCGCTGCAGGCCAGCGGTGTGGCCTCAACTGATATTTAATATTGAGATTTGTCGGAATTGGGACATTCAGTGACAGATCACCCGCAGTCAGAGATTGACCCGGAACTGCCATGTCCAAGCCATCCCTTCCACTCGCAGGAGTTCGAGTCGTCGAGCTGGCAGGCCTGGCTCCAGGTTCGTACCACACCTGCGCTTGGACAAAATTTCCTGTGTCTAATCTATATAGGCCCGTTCGCTGGACTTCTACTCGCAGACTATGGCGCGTCAGTGTTGCGCGTTGATCGGCCGAACTCCATCTCCGCAGACCAGTTGACTCGCCGGAAAACGTCCATCACGGTGGATCTGCGGGACAAAGCTTCGCACCGCCTCCTGCTCTCCGTACTGTCAAAGGCCGATGTCCTGATTGATCCCTACCGGCCGGGCGTGCTGGAACGTCTGGGCCTCTCGCCGTCCGACGTACTCCTAAAACACAACCCGCGCCTGATTGTGGCTCGCATGACGGGCTTCCGTCGCGACGGCAAATACAAAGACATGGCGGGCCATGACATCAATTACATCGCGGTGTCTGGTGTGCTGTCCATGCTTGGCCGGAAGGGAGAAGCCCCCTATGCACCGGGCAACATCCTGGGCGATTTCGCCGGCGGAGGCGCCATGTGCTTCCTGGGGATTCTGCTGGCCCTACTGGCGCGCGCACACACGGGACGAGGCCAGGTGGTCGAAGCCAACATGGTAGACGGGTCCGCGTACTTGGCGACAATGCCGCGGCTGACTCGGCAGACGCCGCTGTGGAACCTACCCCGCGGCGAGAATATGCTGGACGGCGGAAGTCCCTTCTACGGGACCTACGAGTGCAAGGACAGGGGCAAGTATTTCGCAGTCGGAGCGTTGGAGCCGCAGTTCTACGCGGCGCTGATCAAGGGGCTTGGGTTTGAAACAGGAGAGCTCTCCGCACGGGACGACAGGGCGAATTGGCCCGCCCTGCGAGCCGCGTTTGAGCAGCGATTCAAGGAGAAGACGCGGGCCGAGTGGGAGGCCATCTTTGACGGCACAGATGCTTGCGCGACGCCCGTGCTGGAGCAGGCGGAATTGGAACAGAGTGGCTACGAGCAGAGACCTGCGGTGCACCTGGTTGACACGCCCAGTCTTCCGATCCCGGCTGATGACGGCGGATGGACAGGAGGCGGGCTGTTACCCGGTACCGGTGGGCAGGAGACTCTCAAGGCATGGATGGGATGGGAGAAGGGACGGGACTTTGATGTCCGAGGGGATGGAGCATTGGTGTGGATCGAGGGAGGCAAGTCCAAACTGTAGGTAGCGTAGCTGGTGTCTCAGAATGGCCTTTCCAGAGCGACGAGGTCATTGGTGGACGCGATCAAGATGGTTACCCATGACCCTCAAGGGAGAGAAGCTTTGACCATTCAGCATGTGCGGAAATCGCAAGATGTGAGACAAGTTTAGGGCTGAGAAACGAGATCTGGAGAATTAATTGGGTTTCCATTGTTTGGTTTTGTGGTATGAGGGAGATTCACAGCCACAGCCACAGTCCGCAACCGACAGTCGGTCAGTCAATCGGTCGGTCGGTCAGCATTAGCAGGGCAGCAATGGTCCATTTCAATTCGTACAATTAATTCGATTGCATCCTTACAGATGGGCGATGGAGATTCAAAAACAATGATAATGCTGCGAAGATGTCTGATTCAGGCATTGTGTGCACAAGATGACTATGCAGACTGCAGCGCGTATCTCCGGTACGTACCTTACCTTTTACTCTGGTTACGGTATGAAATACCTGGTACCTACCAGGCTTACCACCTAAGGTAGAATTGGAATCCATGGCGAGCTGAAAAGGATCGAAACCGGTGGAGATTGCCCGATTCGAACAGCTCTTGGAAATGTTACAACGGCTGAATGTAACCTGCAGCAGTTCCGGTGGGATGATTCGATGTCTGAGCGTTATCAATGAAGACCACCTACCTAATAATCGCGTCATTTTATACTTTCACCACTCTTGGGTTGAGGTGACATTGCAGCGGAGAAACCTATACGAATGCTTGATGATCTGTTGCCATTACTGTTAGTGATAGTCAGGGCAGAGTAAGGTATATGTACCTACCTTACTGTGCCTGACTAAAGCCATAAGACACACTGTCACTTCTCTATAGCAATATTTGGATTTTGCACCTCAGGATCTAAGTCTACACCAAGGATCTTTCTTCGGTGCTTCCGGTAATCTCTCTAGATGGTGGAGTATTCTACGTCATGATGTCCTTTAGTCCAGACTAAATTAACGGACATTGGGTGAAGAAATTGACTCGACTTGTTACTCAGGTACCACTGAGGGTAAAACTGACAAAGCATCGTCGTACCTTTCGAACCTTGGATTGAATTTGTGGTACGGCCGGAAGTGGGTATGGTATTTACCAGTATTGTACCTACCATATCAGGACCCCACGTGTCCGAAACTGTGGCGCAGCGCTGCTATACTGGTAAACACCCAGACAGATAAGCTAAAGGAAATAGCGCAGTACCTATGTTCAGCTTGTAAATGTATGGAGTAAAACCACAAGCCGTCAATTCTCCGTAGTCCGTATTGACTCATGGGAGGTGGTTAACTAAGTAACTAGTTAGTTAGCTAACTATCTTGTAACCGCTGACAAAGGTAGACTAGGACTGACTATTTCGCGGTGCGTGCCTTATCCACGCATCATGACTGGACTAGAGAACCCACGAGGATGACTGCATTGACTCTTGAATCTGATGCTTCAGTGCTAACTTAGGCGCTCGACGGCAAAACAGCTACAAGCAAATTGATAAGAGGCACAGACCTTTGTTTGTTTAATGTTTTGTTGCGTACTACCTTGTCATTATTACCCTAACATGAGAGGCTTTACCTCGGTGGTTGTGTGGTTCCAGTGGTGGAAGACAAAGGGAATGTGCTCAAGTCATGACTTCATCGTGATGTCTCTTTCTTGTTCTTTGGTAACCAGTCTAAATTGCTATGTTTCAATTGCCGGTATATATTTTGGTATTATTATTCAAGCAGTCTTGGAGGTAGGTACTCCGTACATACGTAACCATTAACAGTAGCTATTCTGTGGATGAAACATGTGGCTGTGCTGATGTTTACCAATTATCATGTACATCTTCTCTCTGAGGTACCCACCTTGACATAGGTAAATGTGTGCCTGTATTTGGTAACAGTACTAGTAAGGTACCAGTCCGTACCAACCAAACTGAGTCTTGAAAAACAAAAATTACTTTTTCTCTGTGTTGTTCGCCTTCTTTCCCTCATCTCATCGGCCGACCGATTAATACTCCATCCATACCAAGGTTATGTTAAACAGCCATAGCTCTCCTCTTATCTCGTCGAGGTTGGCTGATTTCTATTACCCTTCTTCTTCTTCTTCCCATTCTCCTCTACTTCTCAGCTGTCATCTATTGCCAGCGTGTCTATCCAGAGTGGCTTGCTGAATCTGCAGTCAGATAACCGTCCCAAGGAGCGCCAAGCCCTCCCCTCGTGCCTGTTCCCAAAGCGGCCTGATCGATCATTCTCCTGTCGTCGCTACTCCTCACGGCATCAAGTGCTGCTCCCTGAAACCTCGACTGAGAACAGAAAGTCGGCCGCTTCGAGCGTTGGAATCTCTGCGTTTGGTTTCTCTTTTGAAACTCATTAATCCGCACGATTCCTTTGTTGAACCGATCCTTTTTTTCTTCTTCTCTTTTCTTCGCTGCAGCCGCCGGATACCGCTGCATGTACCACACAACGGAATCGCCGGCCAATTCGCTGATCCATCCATCATCGCGCGACAAGACAAATTCGGGTTCCCTTACTTCCAACACGCTTCTTCCTTTCATTCGCAATCGAGGCGACTTTTTGCAGTCGCTTTCTACTCGCCAAGGCAGCTAGTCCCTGCGCTCTTGTCGCCTCTACTTAACTAGTCACCTTGGAAACATCTTTCTCTCGCAACTCTCAACAGCTTTTCGATCCTGCATGGCTGGCGTGCAAGCTCCACCCACCATGACCGACTATCGACTCCCAATTCACCAGGCACCTCCTCGGAAGCCCGTCCCTGGCATGCATCGTGGATACCCTTTTCAATCCTACGAGCCTCACCAGCATGAACAGCCGCACCACTATCGTCCGCAGCAACAGCAACCGCGCCACCACCAACAACAGGAACAAGTGTCTCCCCATCCCTCCGTCTCCTCGGCCAGCCGCAATCGAACTTCTTCGTCCCATGTCTCGCCATACGGGGCGCATCAGCAACAATATGCCGGTGCCCCTTCGCCGCATTACACAATGACCAGCCACGTTAGTCACCCGTCGAGGCGCCTGTCTAGTGCCACCACCTCCACCAGCTCGACCGGAAACAACTTTAGCTCTGATATCCGCCGGAGTACATCATCCCGTTCGACCAACGCTCAAGTCGGCTACGTGGCTCTCATGCGCAGGCAGAAGGCAACTGTCTGGTGTGATCGGGCTCAGCCTGAAGATCCCCGACTTCGGGCCCAAAAGCTGGCGGATAAGAAGAGGGCCTACCTGGAAGTCCATGGCGCTGGCGCTGGACGCACCGGTACCCTGGGAAGCGGCAAGAACAAGCATGGAAACAAGGGAATGACAGAATTTTCGGCGTCGACTCTCGTTGGAGCGACTGTTCCGGTCCGACTCAGTGCAAACGAGGTGGGCGACGCAGATGAGGATGGACACAGTGACAATGG